AGTGGCCAGGCTGACCAGTCACACTGATCGCACCACTGTCTGAGGAATTCAGCACCCATGCTTCTAATGTGTCAAAGCCTAAGTAGGTCGAGCCCTGCTCCCCTGGGAGCACATAAGGGACAGATCCAGGCCCTGGGAGTCAGAGCCTTTCAGCTGGAGTTTGTGGCAGGCTGTCTGGGCAGTGAGCTGAAGCTGTTGCACCAGCTGGGTCATCTGGTGGAGCACATCCCCTGCTCAGGAGGGCAGCACTCGGCACAGACCACCAGCCCTGCCTTCGTCACCTGGGAGCCTCGAGAGCCTTGTCCATCCCCACGTTCTGCTGCCACTCAGGGCTCTGCTGTGGAAAGCTGTGTTCCACCCCTCCCTTCCCCATAGCATCCCAGGCCTCCAAGCCACAGCCCCTCACCCCGGCGCAGAGTTTGGGTCACCAGCAAGACCACAGGTCCGATCTCTATGCAGAGCCAGTCTTCGTTACGAACAGAGCTCACTGAGAGCAGTGTCAACTTGATCCCATGAGAAGAGGCCCCCTCGGTGGTGGTGGCAGCTCAGGTCCAGAAGACGGGGTGACTCAGTACTTCCCATCAAAGTATGGTAATGAGGAGAAAGGCCCATTTGGGGAGAGGGACACTTTGAATTCCTGGGGGCCAGACACCAACCAATGTGTTTGTTGACTGGTGGAGAATTTCTGGAATGAATGAGGAAGGTTTTGCAAAGCCCTACAGCAGCTTACATCAGCTGGGAGGGTGTTTATCTAACACTGAAAACTGAAGCCCCAACTTTTCCCTTGCTGGGATCTTTGGGCAGCGGATTCCCAGGGCGAAACCACAAAGGCCTGTGGCGATGGAAGAGATTCTGTGTCAGCGCTGCAGTAGCCCCCACGCGGGCTCGGGACAGGGAAGAGCCAGGGAGCATCTCACTTTGTGGAGCCCCTAGGGTGTGTTGGGGGCACCGTGGTCAGAGGTGGATGCCAGGGGGAGCAGTGCGCTTGTCCCTCCTCTCTGGCAGAGTAGCTTCTTAGGGCTCAATAAAGGTGTGCTGCACTGAACTGTAGGAATGAGGGCCAAGCTTTCTTTGTCTTTGTCCCACAGTGTGTCCACTGTGGCCCCAGCTCTCGGAAGCTCTCATCCCACAAGGTGTGGTGCCACAGTGTACACTGACAGGACCCTGGTTTCTGTGCCTACCTGGGGCCAGTGTGGCCCGAGACACAGAGGAGGATGCACTGGTGAAGCCTGCAGAGGGGCGAGCAGCAGGGCCACTTGAACAGCAGACTCAGCACTTAAGGCTCAGGACCTTCCAAGTAAGGGCCAAAGGAAAGGGTGGGATCATACCAGGCAGGAGCTCCAGAGAAGTTGACACAGAGCCTGCTTTTCATCCTCAGGCCTGGGACCACTCTTGTCCCCTCCTGGATGGTAATGGAGTAGCAGCCTTGTCCCAGGCCTTTGCTTAGCTCCCAGGGACAGAGACGGAGCCCCAGTCAGCCCTGTGCTCAGAGCTGTCCTCAGGACATCATGGGGAGCCACAGCCAGGTGGCTGGGGAAGGAGGCCAAGACTCACTGTGCTGGCCTGGGCAAGGTCTGCAGTGTGGCAGCACAACCCTGGGCTCCAGAAGTGACCAGAGCAGGAAACCCTGTCTGCACCAGCCCGGTCGGATATTGGGGGGTTTTTTTGTTTTGTTTTGTTTTTTTGCAATATTTAAAGTATGATTTAAGGTCTTATAGATGACTGTCACTTTGGAAATAGACATTATCAAAACTAATTTCTGAATATCACGGCTAGGAAAAATCTCTATCAAGTTGCACAGAAAAAGGGCAAATGTCTTTTTCTGCAATCTTTGGAGGTGTTTGCAAGGCTTTTGATCAAAGGCCCTCAGGAAAACTGCTGCACCGGCTTGGTTTACATCAGGCTGTCAGTCAGTGGTGGGGTTCTGCTACTCGGGGGGCACTGCTCTGCTCAGTTCAGTTCATAGCAGGCTCCATGTGCTTCTCGTGCCTCACCCAGTTCAGTTATCCAAGGTAAAGCAAAGATCCCTGTGGGAAAGTACTGTCATTTTTTTTCTTTTTTTTTGATACTGGGGATTGAACTCAGGACCTTGTGTTTGCGAGGCAGGCACAGTGCCACTGAGCTAAATCCCCTGCTCAAAGTGCTGTCTTAAGTGGAACTGTCCTCCCGGCCAGCCCAGGGGACCCACAAGGGTGATAAACATCACTGGATAAGATCAACATGATTGCAAAAGGACTGAACTTGGGAAAAACAGGGTTGTTTGTCCAGAACAAATGACCAGAGGGATCAAAAACAGCTTGTTTTTCTGCAGCAATAACCCTGTGCTGCCTGCTTGGAGTGTTTACCAGAAAATGGGCTAAAAACCTTACCATCAAAACAAAGCCACGCACCAGGGACACATCTGGCTGGCCCCTGAGCTCCCAGAAACAAAGGCCGAGGCTGGCCCAGCCTGACCAGGTGACCGGTGGAGGAACTGGAGATGCCAGACATAGCCATTTGTGGGGGCCCAGGTGCCCACAGCTGCAGAGGGGCATCCTGGTCAGATGCAGAGGCGAGTGGCAGCCCCATGCCCTCAGGCCCTCTGCAGTGACCGTGCAGGAAGCTGGGTCAGAGCCAAGCAGCTCCAAGTACAAAAACAGCCGGCTGCATGTGCTATATTTAGTCCACAAGCTTCGGTTGGGAGGGAACCAGCTGTTGATGCGCCCAGAGGCCACAGTGTGCAACAGGGCATGGGCCAGCCTCCTGAGGCAGTCACAGGAATGTTTCTGTGGGAGTGGGAATTCTTTTGCTGAGAGCCCAGGAGAAGCAAAGCAAAGTCTCAGGCGTGGAGGAGAGACGCTTGCTCGGGGGCCCTGAGCTGAGGGGTCCACTTTGGGGAGAGGGACCATACTGGTCACTGCATGGGGCCAGACTTGTTTCTCTCTGGGCTGCTGGTCAGCACTGCCAGTGCAGACCCAGGACAGCACCCCTCCCCACTGAGACAGTGCTTGTGAGGCAGTTTGTGTGTAAGTGTGTGCACAACCACGTGCATGGGGACAGGTGCAGGGACAGGGCCATGGGCAAAGAAAGCCGCCTTGGCAGGAGCTTGCTCAGCCCAGTGGGTTCTTTTTCCTAGCATGAGCCTGTCCAATAGCACTGCACTTGGGGCGCTGTGCTCCCTGCTGGGCAGCTTCCCAGACAGGCCTTGTTCACTGAGGGGCCTCTCTCAGCTCAGCTTCCCTAGAAGATGCAGTTAGGACCCCAAACTGTGTCTTCCAGTCTTTCCATTCTCTTTCCTTTTCCGAGAAACAGATGTGACTGCTCTTGATTGTTTCATTTGCTCTAAAATAACCTACAATCCCCAACTCTCTGGCTTCCAAGCCTGGATCTATTTATAAAAATGTGTAACTTTCAGTGGTGTTTCAGAAAAACCAGGTCCTGACGGGTAAAAACCAGCTGCCAAAGGAAGAAGGTGCTGTGAGACCAGAGAAAGAGCCAGACAGCTCCAGGATCACAATTTATTAGGGACTTGTGGACAGAAGTGTCCCTCTTTGGTGCATGCTAGCCTGGTGGCAAAGGGAAAGAGCCCAGAGCTGGCAGAGACAGGGACCAAAGCTCCCCTGGAGCCTGAGGTACCTCTCATCCATACACACCAGTCACGTGGTAAAGGCTATCTGGGTGAGATGGGCTTGCAGGTCACTAAGAGGTGCTGAGTCACTTGCAGGAGGCAGGATTATGGGACCAGAGAAGGTGGCCAGCAGGGCAGCCACACCCAAGAACACTCCACAAAGCCAGGCACTGCAAGCGCTTCAAACTGAGCTGAGCACTCAGTAAGTACTCAGGAGGTTAACTATTGTATAATAGTTTATTGTACAAATAACTCGAGGGCATAAACCCCTCCTGTTTATTCTCCTCCTTTAGCCCTTTGCCTCTGACTCCCTCGTCTCTTCTGGCTCTGGCTTCTCTCATCATCTCCACTCCGGGTCACTACTCACTCCCCTTTACTTCCTCCTAATTTTCATGTCTCTCCTTAAAATCTTCACCTGGTCTCTAATCTGCACCTCCTGGGACTGGCCCACTTGTCTTCAGGTATGAGGAAAAAGGGGTAATGTGGGACACAGAAAGGGTTAGTTTTAATTCATGACTCTTACTCGTGATGTGTTTTAGAAAAGTGTTTATTATTTTCATGTACACAGAGTGAACAGTCCCAGCAGATCATTTTTGGTTTTGAAACTTGGAGAAACCATTGCTGACACCACTGGCCACTGCCCATCACCCCCAACCCCGCGACCCACCAGCACCAACAGCTTGTAATGATAAAAACCCTACTGGCTTCCATTTCTTATGTGTTATGCATTGTCCTGAGTGCCTTCCATGATCTCATTTAAGCTTCACAATCGTCCAGACAGTATCCACAAGATCACTGAGCTGAACTTCTGGCCCAGCTTCACACTTGGCCAGATGCACAGCAGGAAGCAGAGCCTGAGTAAGGACTCTTGAGGTTTAGGGTTAAGGAGAGATGTGACAGTCCCTGCTTCCGAGACTACAGCAAAGCTGGATGACCAAAACACAGACGGAAAAGCTCCTTGAAAGGAACGGAGCACCTTACAAAGCCATTGGTGGGACAAACAAGAGTGCCTGGGATTGCCAGGCACTGTTGTTAGCCCTGTAGACACAAAGCACGAAAAGACACGGCAAGACAACAGGCTGTGCGTGTCACTGAGCCGCTGGAGTTTGTTCTAAGGTGGGAAGGCCTGGAGAGTTCTGAACTCGTGTATGCCAAGATCTGACTTGGGTTTTAAGATCATTGGCGTGAAAGGTCAGGAACCCAAAGCAATAATCCAAGTATGAGGAAGTTAGCTCTTTGAGGCATGGACAGTGTGACAGGGGCTGGATTCCGAGTGTATCTGGAGATTCCACGGTATTTGCGGATGGGGCGGCCAAGCCATGCATTGCTGGGGTGCCCTCCAGGTCAGGTTGGCGGGTGTCGGAGTTCATTTGGGGTTCACGGGTTTGCGGCGTCCAATGCACAAGGGGATGGGTTCCTGGGCAATCGACTGCAAGCGGAGGTCTGCCACTTCCCAATATCTGCAACCTGGAATCCTTCTGGAGGCCAGGCGGGTCCTCGCGAGTGAGGGACAGAGGAGGGTAGAGCACTGCAACTGGAGGGAGCGCAACGATCGAAGCGCGGACGGCCGGGACCATAGACGGTGCTCCTCCCGGTTCCTAGAGCAGCCGCTGTTCCAGCTGCGGGAAAGGAGCGGCGTGGGCTGTAGGAACTACGAGGCGGACCGGGACCCTAGAGGGTCGCTCAGGCAAAAGGCCCGCACTTCCGCCAGCGAGACAGACAGTAGTGAGCGAGCTGGGACCATCGAGGGTCTCTCTGCCCTGTTCCTAGAGCGGCCGCAGCGGTGGCGGCAGACGGCCCGCACTTCCGGCGGGGGGCGAGGCCCGGCTAGGGTGGTGGCGGTAGAGGTGAGTGGGCGCGGCGTGTGGCGGGCTTTGGGGTTGTGGCCCCGGCCGGGCGAGAAGGGTTCGCGGGCGGTTCCGCTGTGGGCGGCGGGGCGAGGCCTTGCAGGCCTTGGCGAATTTGGGCCAGAAGAGAAAGAAACGGACCGGGGGTTCGGGCCTCTGCGCGCGGACCACGCCGCGTCCATTGTGCAGCGACGCGCGCAGGTCGGGTTGTTCGCTGGCAGCGGCCCTCCCCGGCCCTCCCCGGCCCTCCCCCGGGATCAGCACCGCCTGCCTCGCCGGGCTGACTGCGGAGCGAGGGCGACGGAGGGCGCGGGCGGTGCTGGACCTGGGCGTCTCGAGTCTCCCGCCACATCTGACTGCTTTAGCGTTAAAAAAAATGTGCTTTAAATATATACGTAATTACCATGACGGGTACTTTTGGACACCGTGTACCCAACACAATGTCTCCTGTGTGGCAGGTAGACTGTAAATATTTGATGGAGTTAATGGATGGGAAATGCTCTCTTTGCACCTTTATATTATATGTAGTTTGCCCTTATTGATACCATAATTATAGTGAATATCAAATATATATAACTTAATATTAAATATCCCTGTGCTCTCTTAAGCTTGGAGTCCATCGTACAAAATTAAAGGCAAGGGAGAATGATGTGTATTTGCATCTATTTGTTCTGTGTGCTTATATGCAAAGAAATCCAGGGTAATTATTCCTATTTTTAAAGTCTACAACCTGACCCAAGATCCAGAGAATAGCGTCTCCCACCCTGCCACCTATTTCGAGTTCCTCTGGTTTTTGGCTTGCATGTTTGGGTAATTTTAAATAGCCTCAAGACAACCATAAAAGTAAATAAAATGAATTTCTTTGAAAATTTTCAACATTTAAGTATTTAAAAAATTCCATCCTATTTTTACAGGAAAATTACTTGCAACTTTTTCTTTTTTCTGTGTGTTTTACTTAGCACACTTTTCCCACTCAGTTTCATATCCCTACCTGAAAGAAGATCTGTTGGTGTTTTTACTCTCCAAAAAACCCATTGGGATGTCCTCTTTCTAAGGTCATTAGAATCCATAAAAATAGTAATTCATCTCTTTACTGAGGTTTTTCCCATCTAGTGCTCATCCACGAGATTCACAGTAAACTTAAAATTTACAAAGTCAGCTTTCCTGCTCCCCTGTGACTGGGGATTAAACCCAGGCCCTTTACACTGAACCACATCTCCAGCCCTTTTTATTTTTTATTTTGCTACATTCTTGCTAAATTAACCAAGCTGGGCTTGAATTTATGATCCTTCTTACTTCAGCCTCCCATAGCGATGGGACTATGGGCTTGCATTACTAGAACCAGCTACTCTCAGAGCAGTTTATGCTATGTACAGCTAACTATGTATAACTGTGAAAGTCCATACATATTTATTTGTGGCCAAATAAGAATAAATAGGAATATATCATGTATGATTTGTTATGCCTTTCAAATTTGGACACCTTAATTCACTATTAAATGAGAAACAATGTGGGAGTAAATTTGACACATAAAAGTGCAGTGGACCCTCAAAGTTACTACCCCCCTGACATATGAACAGTCTGGTTTAATTAGGTTAATGGAAGATTCATCTACCTCTTGTTATCTATAGTGTGTACCTAGGTAAACATCCAGATCTCAGCTATGTTAGTTACAGCCAGCCCTTGGAACTGATTGAGTTCCTAAGTCAAAGGTCCACTGTATTCTATTACACAAACACTGGGTGAAATTATATCTTCTCATTTTTTATCTTGCCTCCTCCTTTTAGTCCTTCAAATTAGGATACTCATTTGATCATGCTTTTTTTTGGTTTTTTGAGACAGGGTTTCACTGTATAGTTCAGGCTGGCCTTGAACTCCTGGCAATCCTGCCCCAGCCTCCCGAGTGCTGGGATTACAGATGTGTGCCACCACACCAGTCATAATGCTTTAAAAAAATTTTTACTTCATCACTTTTTTTTTCATCACATTTACTTCACCACTCCAGTGGTAAATTCAATCAAAATGTGATATTTAATTAAATTTAACCTCTGGAATTATTAGAATTATTTTGCAAGTATTTTCCCCCAGAATTAACTTTGTTTTCATTTATGTTAAACACATCTTTAATTTAAATATCAATGTAATTTTGGTGAATTGAAGAGGTACAGATCATCTATAATTTACTGTTTTCTCTTCCACACAGAAAACACTGCACTGTCTAGATCTAGGAAATGAGACCTTAGTTCAGAAGACAGTAGACTCTCTAACAAATATATTCAGCTTTTCATCATGAGGCTAGCAAAACCGAAAGGGGGAAAAGGAGGTATTTCTCGGAGCTCAAGCCAAGGAAAAGCCTATGAGAACAAGAGCAAATCCAAGATAGTCCGGCAGCGGCAGAAATGGGGAATGACCATTCGCTTCGACTCGGGTTTGAGCAGGCTGAGAAGAAGCTTGGATGAGAAACCCTACAAATGCATTGAATGTGAAAAGAGTTTCAGTCAGAGTTCAACTCTTTTTCAACACCAGAAGATCCATACTGGAAAGAAATCCCATAAGTGTGCCGATTGTGGGAAAAGTTTCTTTCAGAGCTCTAATCTCATTCAGCATCGTCGGATCCATACTGGGGAAAAGCCTTATAAATGTGATGAGTGTGGAGAAAGGTTTAAACAGAGTTCAAATCTCATTCAGCACCAGAGAATCCATACTGGAGAAAAGCCCTACCAGTGTGGTGAGTGTGGCCGGTGTTTCAGCCAGAGCTCCCACCTTATTCAGCATCAGAGAACCCACACTGGGGAGAAGCCCTACCAGTGCAGTGAGTGTGGCAAGTGCTTCAGCCAGAGCTCTCATCTGAGGCAGCATGTGAAGGTGCACAAGGAAGAGAAGCCCCGGAAAGGCCGGGCTAAAACCATCAGGGCAAAACCTCACCCAGTGACCTCCTGGAAAGCTGGGGCAGGAAGGAAGTCAGCAGCTGGTCTCCGCCAAGGAAAGGGTACTGCTTCAGCCCTTTTTAAAAAAAATAAAAAGTAAAGATAAAATCTCTCTCTTAGAACTGGGAACACTTAATAGTAGAGCACTTAGATACTGATTCCTTCTCTAGCATGGAGACATTGGGGGTTTAATGACATTGGGCTGATGCTACATGGGTCCAGCTGCCCTCGTTTCTTTTTTGTGTGATATGGAACAGAAAGACAATGTTTTTAGAACTGGGGACCCTTATTAGCAGAGCACTTAGATATTGGATCCTGCCCTAGCATGGAGAATTGGGGTTTAATGACATTGGGGCGATGCTACATGGTTCAGCTGCCCTCATTTCGTTTTTATGTGACATTGAGCACAAAGAACTGCGAATATGTTTTCAGAACTAGGACCACTTGATAATAGAGCACTTTGATTCTGGATCTGGCATGGTGACATTGAGGGTTTAATGAGAGCTGAAACTATGGGAGTCCAGCTACACCTCCCCACCTTTTTTAAATGTATCTTGGAGTACAAAGAATTGAAAACATGTTTTAAAAGAATATAGGATCCTTGACCTCATTTGAAATTCCTTCCTGCATCATTTTGATGAAAAACGTCATGTTTTCACAACACATTTGTGAAAGTGCAGGCATGCAAATAATTACTGTTGTAGGACTTTATGTGGAAGGAACAGTTAAAGGGAAAAGGAATTAATTTCATTAGTTTAGAAGTTCTGCAACAAATTTGGAGCTCTTAGCTTTGTAAAGTTCACTATATTAACTAGTGGCTCATGCTGTGACTCAGGATTCAATGTAATGAAATGTATTCAAGTTCACACAGTAATAATCAGCAGAGCCCATCTATTTTAGCTTTCTTGTGTTCCCTCCCCCACTTTTTTGACAGCTGCTAGTTAAAGGGGTAAGAATGTCCCTGCTTTTCACTGTGTTCATCACAGATCCTAGAGAATCCAAAGTGAGGAATTAGACCATAAGTCTCCTATACATACAATACTGTCATTTGTCGTGATGTTACTCCTGTGTCACTTGTTTTCCAGAGGTGGGATTGATTTATGTTCATCACGCCCATGGCCTCTTTGAACATTTTCTTGTGCTCTGAAAAATTAAGCCAGCCTTTTAGATCTACATGAATAAACAAACCACATCTTACCAACAAAATCTCAGCTTACTTCTTGCTAAAATAATCTACAAGTTAGAAACCTCCCTGTCTTCAAGACTGAGCTTTAGATAAATCTGTTTATCTTAGACAAATGTTTGTCAACAACAAAAGTCAGAATATGTCATTGCATTGTAGCTCCTTTAAAACTTACCTTTTTCTGTATTACAGTAAATGTTTAAGAAGGCTAGCAAACGTTTCTTTCTTTTTTTTTTCCTTTGTTTTTTGCACTTACCAGGGATCAAACTCAGGTTCTTGTGCTTGCAAGGCAGGCGAGGCACCACTAAGCTAAATCCTCGGCCAAACATGTTTCTTAACATCCATCAACATGGTGCCAAGTGTCTCACATTTCTGATCAACTTTCAGCTCAGGTTTTCATTTCTACTGAATGCTAACGTATTCTGATTTTTGGTGTATTTTGTAATCACTTCTGTATTATTTACAGTTATCCATAAAATAAAATATTTTGCATAGTACTGCCTTCTGTTAGTATTTTTCTTTTGAAAATTGTTATAATGGTCTAAACAAACCTGCATAACATTTAGAAGAATCACTTGTTTTTCCTGTTTTGAACGCCTCAAACTTGAAACTTGTCTGCTATAACAAACTGTGCCTCTGTAAACGTGTGTGCATGTATCACTGTGATATGATGCTTTTAATTGTTTTGGCAAGATACCCAGCAGGAGAATAGCTGAGTCAGATAGACCTCTAATCCTCATTTTTGGAGGAATTTCCACACTGATTTTAGAGACTGGAGACTTTAGCACATACTTATTTGATGATCAGGCAGCCTCTAATCCTCCAGTATTGGAAAGTCAGGGAAGGTTCTGGATGTGATCTTATCCTTGGAGAGACTGGTTTTAGATGGCTTTAAAGATGGAGACTTGGTCAGGGAGAACTCTTGGCATCCATGAGAGTCAAGAGGCCTCAGAACAGTCCAAGAGGAAGAAATGTTTGTAGTAGGGTCTGCAGAAGAGAAGAGGCAAGGGGAGTCTATCATGGTGACTAAATAGACCTGGAGACACATCAGATGTAAAGTGTGGGCCAGAGGAAATGGAGTTTTCCAGCCTAGGTTAGTAAGAGGATCAGGCAGGATTAGGTGAGGGGGAAAAGATAAGACTACTCATTTTAGAAAATGACCTTGAGATGCTTGTGGGGACATCTGAGTGGGAAAGTATAATAATTAAGTACCCATGTCTGAAATGTGGAAGATTTGAGGAGAGCAATAAATATTTGGACCATTATGTTCCAGGTGCTTTAAATATATTGGATAATTGTTTTGTTTGGACAGTTGTAAAAAATACTACACACTGGGTGGCTTAATGGAAATTTAGCCGGGCATGGTAGCATATGCCTATAATTCCAGCACTCTGGGAAGCTGAGGCAGGAGGATCACAAATTCAAATCCCAGCTCAGGTAACTCAGCAAGATCCTGTCTCAGAAATAAGGGCTGGGGATGTAGCTCAGTGCAAATGTCCTGAGTACAGTCCCTAGTACCACCAACAAAACAAAACAAACACACAATAGAAATTTACTTTTTACAGTTGTGGAAGCCACAAGTCCAAGGTCAAGATTTGTAGCAGGGTTGATGTCTGATGGGGGCTCTTCCTAATTTGCAGGAGGTGGGAGGTCCCCACTCGCTGCATCCTTATATGGTTGTTCATGCACAGAGAACTCTGATTGCTCTTCCCCTTTTTATAAGGACACGAGTCCTATTGGATTAGGGCCTGCCCTTAAGCTCACTGAATCTGTTTCCACCTCAATGTCTTCATCTCCAAACAGTCACACTGAAGGTCATTACTCCCCATCATAGAGCATTCCAGAAACTGGCCCAAGGTTACAGTACCAAGTGGTTTGTCCAGTGTGTCACTCTGCCTCCTAATTTGGAAAGAGACTTCTCAGGAATAGCTGTTTCTTATTTCAGGAATTTGGCATGGGAATGCTGATTTAAATGTAACTCCTGAGATGAAGAACCTCCTCAGATCCGAGAGCCCCAGTGCTACCCTGATATTCAGGGCAATCACCCCATGCCGGACCAGAAGAGATATGTAAGTACTCCTGACAACTTTAGTGTGACCTCTGATGCAAACCCGCAGATGAAAAGCCCCCACTGCACTGGAAACGCCTCCAGTCAGTGAGGGGCCCTGGCTATGTAGATGCTCAGCAGTAGGGGCTTCCTTGTTAACAAATCCTGGGCTTTTCCATTACATTATGTTACCAAAAACTGTCACTAGATGGCAGCAAAGGCAATGTAATGGAAACCATCCTCACTCTCCAGTTTGTCTTTTCCTCTGAAAGTATTGTGCTCAGACCATAAGAGCTGGGGTGTAGCTCTGTGGTAGAGCACTTGCCAAGCATGCAAGAGACCCCGCATTAGATCCTCAGTACAAAAACTTGAGGCCACTCTAGGTCAAGCAGAGTTCGGGAAATCCCTTCAAAGATGCAAATATAACTAAAAGCTTTAGTCAAATGACTTGGATGCCATTTCCATCCATTTTCACTGTAACTTACATATTAAATGATTTACGAGGCACAGGGGGATGAATAAGTTTCTTATTCTAGTAGAAAAAAGAAAGAATCGTGTAAAGCAGTGGTCTCCATCCTTTATGGCACCAGGGAAAAGAGGCCCCTGGCGGGGTGATGGGAGGAGGAAAGGCTGAGAGCCCTGGAGTTTGATCCCATCACAACCTTCAAGGGGAGCTATGTAGAGTCTCTGTCCCAGTTCTTATCTCTGCAAGGAGTGGCAAGGAGAAGTCTGTACTCACTGGCTCAGTTAGCCATTATACCGTGGCCCTGCACATTGACCACCGACCCCCATTTCCAGATTCTAGTGGCTCCTGTTTGCTTCACAGTAGACTGTAGTCTGCAATGACAAAACACCCCCAAATAGAAAGTAAAAACGTGGAGAGCGTGGAGAGCAAGCTTCATCTGATTCGTTTGTCCCAGCCACTGCTGGCCTCCGAAGGGAGACTGAGAGGGTGGGAGTTCAGCACCAGATCTGATACAATGCTGCCTTAGTCACGCTCTCGGAGACACAGTACCCAGCACATGTACTTCGCTTCATGTTTTCAGCCCCTGGTCGGCTGGTTCCAAGGCAGAAATGGCATGGCAGAGGGGCACAGTGGAGGAGAGCTACTCATGTCATGGTGGCTAGGAAGTAGAGAAGGGATGAGCTGCAAGAACACACCTCTCCAGGTCACACCCCTAGTGACCCACCACCAACCAGGCCCCTCTCCCAGCAGCAAGTCAGCTCTAGCACCCGCCTTGTCCAGTCATCTTCCCAACACATGAGGCTTTGGGTGGACATTTCAGATCCAGACCCTAACAAATACCTCTGAAAATTATGTTCTAAAATTCAAAAAACTGCCTCACCAGTACGAAAGAAGCCCAAGTTCAGAAAGCAAAAAGAAAAATTGAGATGATAAGGAAGACTAGGGAAAATTTTAAGGAATCTAAAATTGAAATTCAGACAATTGAAATCCACACTGAAGGTAGCAGAGACCAATACACATATTGAAGACCACAGTGTCATCTGAAAGAAAGTTCAAGAAACTTTTCCAGAGTGTGGAGGAGGGGAAAATCCAAAGCAATACAATGAGAATAAATGTAGACGGAGCTCCAACTCGTGTCTCAGGTTACCATGCTGGGGCCTGCACGTGGTGAACTGCAGTCAAGAGGAAGGACTGCCCCAAGTCACCAAGGATTACCAAGAGTTCTCTGAATGTGGAGGCTATCTAACCTTTTGCTGCATAACAAGTCACTGCTTAGCACATTTATTACCTCATTGTTTCTATGCCTCAAGAGTGCATGTGTTCATATAACAACTTAGAATATAGCACTGTGCTTGGTTACTGTTGTGGAAGCCATTTCCCATCATCCCTGTCATATCATGTCTGGGAGAATCAACTCCTTGAGTGAGGGAGGGGACCAGACATAGGCATGAGCACTAGGAGCCAGAGATGCTGAGGGACATCTTGAAGCCCACATGGCACAGGGCAGAGGAGGTTATAACGGACAGAAACAGGGCAGCTTGTACAAGTATATGAAGACTTGGGATGATATACCACACTGAGGGACTTGCCTGGGGTTATAGTTGGAGAATAGAATAGGGACCAGCAAGAGCAAATCCAAGCACGGATCACATCTTTATGGGCTTTGATGGCAAGGCCACGGACTGTGTGACTAGATTGTGTGTTGGCTAGACCAGGCCAGGGGACCATGTGGTTTGGAGGTTGCTAAAGGCAGAACCACGCCTAGTTTTATTACCTCACCCCAGGGTACATGGTGTGTACAGAGAGGAGAGGTTGGCCCTCAGCCCACCTCATTCTTCAGCTGAGTGTCTTTACACAGTAAATAACCTCAAGATGCCAAGTAAAAGTGTGCAGTAATTGTTTCAGTAAAGAAAAGCATGGCCTGATTAATCAGTTAGGAAGAGGACAGCAACAGAAGTGGTATTTAGGAGCAAGAATAACCTGGATTCATCCATAGCTACTATGAGGGAGAAGAAAAGGGAAGGGCCCCAGAATGACTTTCTCATGTCTGGTTAGGCAGGTGAAGTGTGGTACTACTAATTAAGATTAAGATTAAAAGATAAAATAGGGGAAAAAAAGATCAAATAGGATAAGATTAGTCACAAGGGAGCTATGTCAGTGAGGATCCCAGTAAGCTATAGATGCCATGCTCCAGTTAGGGCTGTTTGTAGAGTGTTTCATAAATGAGCTTCCTATTGTATAGAAATTATTAGAGACATGGGCAAGGTACAGTAAAACCTTGAACTGCAAGTAACTTGTTCTGCGAATGTTCCACAAAACAAGCAAACGTTTCTAATAAATTTTAATGCGATAAATGAGCAGTGTCTTGCAATGTGAGTAGTATATGATGCCAAATGTCACAGGATCATGACTGAGCCAATGGTTCTCTCTCTCTTTTCTCTCTCTCCCTCCCTCTCGCACTGCAGGATTATGGGTGATCATCTCCCAACAGCAATAGATTATGGAAGAGATCATGTCTGCAGAGGAGGAGCAGAAGAAAAAGGTAGAGGAATCTCTCACTTTAAAGGAAATTAGGGAGATGTGTAAAATGTGGGAAACAGTGCAAAATTTTGTAGAAAAGCACCACACAGATAAGGCTGTAGCCGTGTGAGTGATAAATCTGTTTAATGACAATGCAATGTTACATTTCTATGAAATCCCCAAAAGGAAGCAAAAGCAAATGTCATTGGATAGATTCCGTGTTAAAGTTGCATGACAAGAAAAAGATTCTATTGAGCCCATAGAGAGCAGTGATTCTGTTAGTGACAGTGAAAGTTGTCCTACACAGTGACTACTCTTATCTCCCTCACACCAGGTTCTCAAAGGTAAGCGCAGGTTAATTTGTTTATTTTGCTTTATATTTTGCATTATGTTACAGTATTGTAATCATTTTTATGTGAATATTGGGGGTTGTGGAACAAATCATTTGAGTTTTAATTATTTCT